GTCTGCATAAACTTCATACAAAGTCAAAAGACAACTGACAAACTAGGAGAAATTATTTGCAGCATATATCACATGCAAGCTAATGTCCCTAAAAGATCACGAGAACTCTTAAAACTTCTGAGAAACAAGCACCAAAAAAAAAAAATTTGACAGATGGACATATGGCATGTTGTTCTGGTACTCAGGAGCTGAGGTGGGAAGGACACTTGAGCCCAGGGTTGAGGTCAGCCTGGGCAACAAGTGAGACCAGATCTTAAAAAAAAGTAAAAAAAAACCCAAAAAACTTGACAGAAAAATGGGCAAAAGACATGAAGAGACAAAAAGTTTTTGTTTTTTGTTTTTTAAAAAAAGGACCTTCAACATATGGAAAAAAGTTCAATTTCACTCATAGTAAAAGAAATGCACATTATAGCCATACTAGGATACTATTTCTCATCTATCAGTTGGCAAAGCTTAAAAAGCATGACAACACATTGAGTTGGGAAGGCTGTGGGAAACATGTACTTTTATGCACTCTGGAAATATGAATTGGCCCAACCTCTATAGAGGAGAATGTGTTGATATCTAATAAAGTTACACACATATATATTTACCTTCTGACTCAGCAACTGCACTTCTGGAATCTACTCTAAAGACACACTCCAAGAATACAAAGAGTTTGTAAGTGTAAAATATTGGAAGCAACAAATATAACCATTCATAAAAGAGTAATTAAACTTGGATACATTCACACTATGAAGTCCTATGGAGCTGTGAAAAGAATGGACCATCTCTATGAAGTGATGTAGAGAGATTTCCAGGATACAGTGTTAGGTGGGAGAGGGAGGCAAAGTATGAAAGAATGTTGACAGTATGTTAGATTTTGTATAAGAAAGAGGGGAAAAAAAGAAAATATAAGAATGGCATTTGTACAAAAAATAAATGCAGTGAAGATAAAACAGAGACTAACGTAATTGGTTAACTACAAGGAGGGGGCAGAGATGGGTAGTAAGTACAGACAAAATGCACCAGTGGGGAGGAATGTCACTTATCTGAGTATGTCTTTTTGTACAGTTCTAACTTCAAGAATCATGCTGATAGTTCACATATTCAGCAAAAGAAAAAGAAAATCAACAAGGATGGAAGAAAAAAACCTATAATGGAATATGAACAGAAACAGATGAATCAAACCATATTTCAAATTAATAACATAACCACACTGAAGCGTAGGAGATGCAGAAGTAAGAACTAGCCCAAGGAATTTTTGAACTTAGTATTTAGATGGTAAGTCCTCAGGTTAAGACTCTAAACAAATATGAATTCTAGTTAGCAGGCTCCCTTCACTTAGAACTATGGGATAGCATTCTGAAACTATTTTCTGGTTACAGCACTGAACAAATAAGTAAATATATTACAGTTAATGGGAACTAGATTTATCACTGTCAGAGAAGTGAGTTACAAATATGAAAAGAAAAAGGATAGAGTGAACCCTATAATGTCAGATTAGTACTGAAGGTTATCAGTACAAACTCATGCTCTTTAATAAATATTAAAACAGATATAACATATGTATATGTATCTACCTATGAATATACAAATGTCTATTTACTAAATCTGGCTGCTGAGGGCATGGAATCCTATTGGTCTAAACCTAGTGACCAGACACTGATTTATAATATTAATCTCCACTAGAAAGAACCAGAGTTCCTTGAAGAAACGGCTGATTCCAGGGCTGGGGTAGGGCAAGCACAAGATACGTCTAGAATATCCTGTGCCAGAATATAAGGAAGTACTCAAAAGAATGATGAGGACATCACAAGCTGGCATAAGAGGTAGCTTCACGAGGTTCCCACTGGAAATTTGGGACAATCTGAGCATCAAAATAAATAACAATAGTAAAGGGTTATAAGCCATGGACCAACATGAGAATCCATTGGTCCACACTGATGTAAACAAATGGGAGAGAAGAGAAAGATATCTTTTTCAGTAGGAAAAAAACCTAATAAACATAGAAGGAATAATGAAATTAGAAAAAATGATTGATTCAGACAAGAATGTTGGCCAAACTAGAGGGTGCAAGTTTAATGAGTAAAAAGATATCTACATCATTTTAAAGAGTCTCCCCATAAGATATATATTGATTATGAAGAGAAACACAGGTACAGTGCAGAAACCTGGGAGGCATCACCTTAGCCAAGATGTCAAAGTTAACATCATCAGTAACAGAACAAATTGACATCATGTGCCATGACACCACACACTGAGGACATTGCTTCGGTGGCGTTCCTGCCAAAAAGTCAGAAACATGAGTCTAATAATGGAGAAGCCTCAGACAAATAGCGTACAAAATAATTGTCCATATACTTCAAACACATCAACATCACAATTCGCAAAGAGAGACCAAAGAACCGTCTTCTCCTTTTAATGCCTCTTCTCTGAATGGGGCACTGAAAAAAGATGACATAGGAAAAAGAGGACTCAGTAGCTTCATCACTGGAATCTCGATGCTCAAAATGTATCTGTTTCTATTCTGTAATTCTCAGCAGCGCTATTTTAACCAGAATGTCCAACGACGATTCCTGAGTGATCTCCATTTCTCTGCAATACGTCGAGAAACTTACTTGCTGACAAAACGAAGACCAGTGGGTATATGCTAAGTGATGATGGGGGTGGGTGGGTGCAAACAAAAAGCCAACAGGAATCATCATCAACCAGCCTCCTGAGCTTTCTGCAGGTTTCCACTCACTCACAAGAACAATAGGAAGAAGTGAAAACAACGGAAATGAGGGGCAGGTGAGAAACACCCATGATAGGCCAAACACCACAAATACAGAAGATGACTCTGAAGTCTAGGTAGGGTTAATACCTTTGAAAGGGCTTTCAGCAAGTAACTCCATGGGCTGTAAATTAGAACCAAGTGAGTGATTTAAACCCTGTGCCCCCCAAAAATGTGTCCCATGTCACTCTTCCTCTCCAGAAACAGTGCCACTACTTATTGTCGAAATATGTAATTCTCTTGGTTTCTTTTATTTAAAAAAAACCAAAAACCACATTTTTCATTATGGGAATTTTCAAAAATATATAAAAGTAGAGAGAAGGGAGTGTATCAATTCCCACGTTCCCATTACTCAGCTTCATCAAGGTGCCATTCTGGTTTCTCTCATATCTCGCCCCATCTTTTTTCTCCTTAAATACTTAAAAATAAATCCTAGACCTTTTTTTTGAACTTCAGAATGTCTCTAACAAATTAGAAGTTAAAAAACAATTTTAGCATTACCATATCTAAAAAAATCATTCTTTAGTATCACTGAACGCCCAATTCCTCTAAAGTTTCTTTAATAATCTTAAAAAGTCTTCTTTCAGTTGATTGCTTAAATCAAAACGCAAACAAAGCCTACACATTACTTTTGGAAGATAATGTCTCAGTGTAGACAGTTCCTCCCCTTTCCTTTTTTTTAAAAAAAAATGCTATTTATATGTTGAAGAAACTAGATCATTTGTTCTACAGAATTTCTCATATCCGTAATTTCTCATATCATTTGTTCTACAGAATTTCTCATATCCATAGCCCTCACAGTCAACAGAATACATTTCCCTATCTCCTTTATTTCCTGGACAGCGCTAGAGGTTCACCTTTCACCCTGCTGTTTCAAGAATGCTTCATGGCACTGTCTACTCTACTGCATCCTCAGGAGGAGTTTACTATTCAGTTATCTTTTACTAGTGTGACAGCAATAGTGTTTCTACATCCCTAGACAACTCAAATTCCTAAAACTTTATCCTATACCATATATGCATGTGATGATCAATCTACCAAAGTTACCAGGTTAATCGAGAGGTGACAGTGACAGAGGTTATCAATCAGCAACTTGGGAAACAAGTTGCCTGACCCCTCTGTTTTTAGTCACTTGTAAAATAGGGAATGAGCTAGTACATGTAAAGTGCTTAGAACAGTTCCTAATACATAATATATGCTTAATAAATATAGGAATTCTTCCTCTGGTAGGTAGGGGGCCAAAAAGTAGAGAAGAGATGGAGGGTTTGGCTGCAGATGGAGAAGAGGTCAGAGGATAGTACAGTATTTAAAGAACACGATACTGGGTTTCTATTATAGTTTTGAAAGGTATTTTACACACTGGCACCAATAAATGTTTCCAAGTAAACTCACAGAGAATTCAAGAGTACTTTATTTTATAATGTTCGTTCGCAAAAAGAGCCTTGCAATTTTTTTCCATCTTTCTTGCTTAGAAGAAAGGTACAGATCTCTGAGCCAAAGGTTTTAATCCTTTACTGCAAAGCATATTTTCCAGGGAAGCTTTTAAAATACTGATGTCTGGGTCCCACCCAATCAATTCTGATACAATTGGCCTAGGATAGGAACAAGGTATATAGTAATTTTTTAAAGTCTTGTCAGGTGAATCTAATATGCAGCTATAATTGAGAACCACTTCTCTTAATCAAGAATAACAATAGCAACTATATTTATTAAGCATATATTATGTATTAGGAACTGTTCTAAGCACTTTACATGTACTAGCTCATTCCCTATTTTACAAGTGACTAAAAACAGAGGGGTCAGGCAACCTGCCCAAGTTACACAGCAAGCTCATGGCAGGGTTATATACTTTAATCCCAGAAGTTTTCATCCAAAATCTATGTTCTTAATCACCATGCTACACTGCCTCCTAAGCATAAATTATACTCATATTCTTCAACTGTAAATAAAATGATCAAAGGAACACAAAAGATGAGATAACTTCTTTCTTCTGAGAAGTAGTACACTGGTATTTGGGGCAAAGGTACCAACGTATGCTTATTAGAAAAGCCAATAAAAAAGGTAACAAACAAGAATCTTCTCTTCCTAAAAGAAGATAAAAATTTAAGATTTCCACACATTTTCAAAACTTCCCACATATCACTTTATGCAGCACATTATTCAATGTTAATATTTAAAAACTGCTTTAGTTCTAAAACTTGAGACAATGACGTATTTACATGTATATTTCAAGAAAATGTCCTACCTATTTCAGTTCTGCTGACTCCAATTCCATTATAAATTCTCAAGTAGTTAAAGTGACAAGAATCGGAATCTTCAATGTCAAAGTCACCAAATTTGATGCGAATTCTCTCTCCCATCTTTACACGAATCTCCCATTCACAAACAGTGCTGTTGGGATAGGTCTGGGGGTAGTTTATGGACGTAAGGGTTCCACTTTCAGGGCCTAGTACAGTGTGCCCACATCCATCACCTTTAAAAAAGTTAAAAGAATGATAATTACTCTTACATCTTTAACTCATACCGTAAGTCATCAGGTTTTCTGTAAAGATTTTAAAATAAGTATGACATCACATCTTTTATACCACCAACACTTTTATTAATTGACAAATAATAACTGTATGTATTCATAGGCTACATACTAACATTTTAATACGTATAATGTAGAGTGATCAGATCAGAGTAATTAGCATATCTACCATCTCAAAGACTTACCATTTCTTCATATGGGGAACATTCGATATACCCCTAGCTATTTGAAACTATTATTGCTAACCATAGTCATCCTCCGGTGGTATATGACATAAGAACTTATTCCTCTTTTCTAGTTGTAGTTCTGAATCCTTTAACAAATCACAAGAAGCAGCAGTTGACATAATTCTTAGTAAATTTACTCACAGGAGTCAAGAGAAACCAAGTTAGGTCAAAATAATCAATATTACCTAAATAATGTATAAGTTCAAATAACTTCCCATTCTAAACAAATATAAGTAAATATAACTTAGTAGTAATTAAATATTTATGCATATCATAAGAAATCCAATTTTAAAGAGTATTCATTTATAGAAATTGTTCAAAAAGCAACAGTAAAATACAAAAACATATGATCAGCTTCATGTATCTACCAATATCACAAAATTGTTCTAAAATCTCCGAGAAGCTGAATGATTTCTAAAAAACACAATATATACTAAAGTTTATATAGATTACTGGCCATATAACAGACTACAAGGCATTCCTTTTTGAAACCATTCAAGCAATCTTTTTAAAAATTTATTTATTTTAATTTTATTGTGTTTTCCTTTTATTTTAAAGATGTGGGGTACAATTCAGGGTTAGGTATACAAATGTTCATTACATAGGTACCCTTGTTGATGCAGTAAGCCCCCCCACTTCCTCAGGTAGATTCCCACTACTGCCAATCCCGCTTCCCTGCATCCCTCCCGGCAGTTTTTCACTACTGCCAATGCTTTTCTAATAGTATTAAGATAATTGCTCAAGGTCTGCTTATGAGTAAGAACATGTGATACTCAGTTCTTTGTTTCTGTGAAAGATCACTCAGTATTATAGACTCTAAGTCCATCCAGGTTGCTGTGAAGAGGGTCAAATGGAAGGCCGATTTTTAGATCTTTTAGGAATTGCCACAATGTTTTCCACAGAGGCTATACTAGTTTACACTCCCATCAACAGTGAGAAGTGTTCTCGTTTCACCGCATCCTTTCCAGCATTGGTTGTTTTTTGAGTTATTGATGATGGCCATCCTGACTGGAATTAGGTGGTATCTCAGTGTAGTTTTAATTTGCATTTCTTTGATGACTAGTGAGGCTGAGCATTTTTTCATGTATCTGTTGGCTGCTCGTATGTCTTCTTCTGAGAAGTGTCTATTCATATCTTTTGCCTACTTTGTAAAGGGGCTGTTTGTTTTTTTTCTTTTTGGCATGTTTGAGTTCCTTGTAGATCCTGGATGTTAGGTTTTTGTCAGACGTACAGTTGGCAAACACTTTTTCCAGTCTTGGGCTGTCTCTCCACTCTCTTGATGGTTTCTTTGGCTTTGCAGAAGCATTCAAGAAATATTTAATCAAGTTTAATCTTATATTCTACTGAGCTTTGACTTTTTAGTAGTCCCTCCCCTAAAGTCTTTTTTCTCCTATAGAATAAAATTTTTTTAAAGTTAACAGTGTAATGGCTTATTAAAGATGAGGAAAAATGACCCTTATATCTTGGCAGCAGCACTATTTGCTCTAGAAATTTCCTCAGCAACTAGACATAGAAACTCAGAAAATTTAACATATTGTTTGTACAAATCAAATATGTGCATCGTTCCTTTTATCATAAAGTCTGTTGGGTTTTTTTGTTGTTGTTTTTGTTTTTACTAAGCATCCAGAAAGAAGCATTAATGTTGTTTAGTAGTTTCAGCTGCTGCTCCAGCTGTACTGTTTGGCATTCTCTAACAACAGGATTCAAATGAACTTCTTTCTAATTGGATGTTGAATGTATCCTTTAAAAATAATAGTATTTTCTCCTTCTAAATAATTATCTATAATCATCTTTTAGAATAGTAGAGTATCTACACAAAAAGCTATATTAAAAGTGACACTGCTGGATTTCAATCTGGATTTCAATATGGATATAGATGACTGTAACAGAATTTTCTATCATTTTAATATTTTTAAGAACAATGTAGTACTGATATCATTTACTAGAGCAGATGAAAGTTTTTTAAAGTCTAAAAGAACTTTACACAGTATCTAGTAAGTACTAGATGCTAAATGTTTATTAATTGAATAAATAATGAAACTGTACATTCACTTATGAAAAAGTGATTTCAAACTAGACTCAAGCTAGGCATAACAGCTCAATAATACAAAAATAGATAAGGGTGGAATGAAATAAATGTGGGTTTTTGTAAAATATACCGACTGACCTCTTGCAAATATAAAACTTGTAAAGTCATACAATCCAGAAAAAGAAAAACAAAAAACCACCAATTTCCCCTGAAATTACCATGAAAATACCTTGAATATCTCTGCTGGATGTCATCTAAATTAAAAACATAGTGATATAAAAAAAAACCTCCACTACGAAAATAAATGAATTGTAATATAAATAACTTTTGAACAATCGTTAACATTTTTCATTAGAGAAAAAGAAAAAAGACTATCCTACCACAGAATTTCTGACATTACAAAACTAGTCTGAAAAGATGAAAATGTGCTTCCTGGAAGTGTTTCAACTTTAAAAAAGAAAAAACCAGCAAATAAATTAAATAACTCAAAATATAAATGTATTTTCATTAATAAATAGAAACTAAGCAGCTTTTTAAGTGGTTGAAAGTGTTGATGGATTTCAGGAATGTTCTGTTAACAGCGGAATCCATGACTTTGTAATGGCAGACTGTCACATTTAACATATTCCCCATAGGCTATTATTCAACTTAAGGTTGTCATTTAAAAATGACTTTTACAGAAAGAGTACAAGCAGAGTGTTACACGTCTCATGCTCATGTTTACGTTTGATTTTCAATAAATACACAAAATGTTTTCTGCCCTTTCCACCATAAAGTGTAATTTCTATAAAAGTTAACAAAATAAATATTAGCTGACGAAAAACAGGACTTTCGCTTACATCCTGATAAAGAAACAATTAAAAAGGCACTGCACTTCTTTTAGAATCTTGTATGGGGAGGGCATAAACAGCCCACAAGTAACATGCCAAGATTGGTCTAAAATATGTAACGGGGTTCAGAGCTTCCCTTCCCTTGCAAACAAGATGCTATGTCCCAGAAACTAAAGTTAGAAGCACGTCTCCAATCTACTGAAATGAACATGTTTGGATGTTTCATATTTCAAAGAATATTTGGCAAGATTAACCTGACTAGATAATAGCTTAACTAAACACCTGCTACTATGAAGTGCATGTTTAGAACATTTCAGTTCAAAAGAGAAGGCTGGGCATAAACATTATTTCTGTTTGTCTCTGTTCTTCCAGGATAAAAAATACGTTTTACATTGTGATCTTATATACCTTCGCATGCATATTCCTGACCCACTAAACTATTCCATGACTCACTAATAGGTCTCCATCTGTAATGTGAAAAACATTGTACTAGGCACCCGAAGGTCATAACATTGAATTCTCAAATCAAGGAGAGATCTTGTCCTCACATTCACCCCCAAATTAGTGACATGCCTCCAGTTTATTTTTACAGTTCTTAAAAGTACAGCTTATTCTTCCAAGATACTTGTGACAAAATACTTAAAAGTAAAGCTAAGGTTGGGTCTGGTGGCTCATGCCTGTAATCCCTGCACTTACGGAGGCCAAGGTGGGAGGATCCCTTGAGCCCAGGAATTCAAGACCAGCCTAGGCAACATAGTGAGACCTTGTCTCTACAAATAAATAAACAAATAAATCAAAAAAATTAGCCAGTTGGTGTGACACACACCTATAGTCCCAGCTAGTCTGGAGATGGAGGTGGAAGGATCACTGTGGTGGATGCTATGGTAAGCTGTGATTGTGCCACTGTACTCTAGCCTGGGTGAGAGTGAGACACTAACTTAAAAATAAAAAATAAAAAATAAAGAAAACGAAAATCTGGAAAATATTATCATGAATCATCTAACACACTAGAAGGTAGTTCTCAAAGAGGGGGAGTGAGGGTGAAAGGGAAGAGGACCCCACAGGAACCTTTTTACCTGCTAGCAGTATCTAGAGATACTTTTGATTGTCACAACTGAGGGGGAGGGGCGTTACCGGTGACCAGTGGGAAGAAGCTAGAAATGTTGCTAAAACATCTTATAATGTTCATGACAGCGTCCTCCCAACCCCAGAACGAAGAATGATCAGCTTTAAATTATGTGTGAATAATGCTGAGGTTGAGAAGCACTGACTTAGAACTAAAGCTAGAAAATCACAGACTGAAAATCTGGTTTAGCTCCTGACTGGTTTCATTTGGCCCAAAGGGTAATGATGTTCTACTCACTAAGGGAACAGTTTCCCTCCAAAGACCGGCAGCTTACTAGAGTTTTATGTTCTCACTTTCCAATTTTTATAAAAGTAAATGGAATTTTTCTTATATGTTAAATAAAATGTTTCTTTTTATCCTTCTACAGACCTCAAATGACTTTTTTTTCCCCTGGATCAGGAGCTCAACAGTAGGAGGGAGTGGAGCAAATAGGAGTAATTATCCCCTAATTTTCTGATCAGCTTTGTACTCTGGGTAAAATAATGATCTATGGCCAGGCAACACCACCTATTCTTACTGATTTTTACAAGGCAGATTTCACAAAAAGAGCATAACTATTACTGGAAAATAACTTTTATAGGCCCAGTTTGCATACCCTAACAACTCCAACCTCACCAACTCATTCCCTGTCTCACCGTCACCAACACTGACAGCTTCTCTTTCTTCTCCTCCTCCCCACATGGTCTCCACCACACTGTCACTAGCCATAAAGGTTAGAAGGCTGTTAAT